AAAAAGGCAACAAGGCAACAAGACATCTTTGTTCAAAGTACTGGAGATGGAGTGGTGAATCAAAGACAAGGTTTCTGGCCTCTCTGAACTTATACTCCACTGAGTTCTTTGTGATGTTACAAGTGAATACCATAGAGGAAAATGGCTGACTAACAGATGTGGGGCAGAGAATGGTAGACAAAGTGATCAAGAAGCCTCTCTAAGGAAGTCACATCCAAATTGAAACCTGAATAATGAGAAAAGGCCAGCTGGGTAAAGACATGGTAGAAGACGAGAGTAGCAGGGAGTATACGAGGCTGAGGTTTAGCCTATTTTAGGAACAGAGAGCAAGCCAGTACAGAGCAAGCAGGGGGTGGTTTAGGTATTTACTGATGTAACAGAGGCAGCTGGACCATGTGGGATCATGTGAGCAACCACAAGAAGTCCACTTTAGCTTAACAGCAATGAGAAACCATACTCAACTTCGGCAAAAATATTGGAATTTTACTGCAAATGACTAATTCATAACTGTATTCTCATCTTAAGCAACAGGATTCTTGATTCCATTTTTTTTCTATTACAGGTAGTATGCTGGGGAACTTCAGTTGTCAACTTGACACACAATTAAAGAGGACTAATTGAGGAAGTTCCTCCATTGGATTGGTTTGTGGCCAAGTCTATGGGGTAACTTCTTGATTGCTGATTGATGTGGGAGGGCCCAGTCCACTGTGAGCTGTGCTACCCCTGGGCAGGTGGTCCTATGTTGTATAAGAAAGCAGGGTAGGTATAGGCCAGTATAGGCCAGGGAACAAGCCAGTAAGCAGCATTCCTCCATGGTCTGTGCTTCAGTTTCTATCTCCAGATTCCTGCCTTGACTTCCTTCCATGATGTACTGTGCTGTAAGCCAAATAAACTCTTTCCTCCCCAAGTTCGTTTTGGCAGTGTTTTATCACAGCAATAGAAGCTAACTAGGACAGGTAGAAACCAAATAATAGTTGATTAAAAGAAATCCATCACCTTTATGAGACAGTAAAATATCACATACCAGTTTTTAAAAGTCTTAACAATTAAGGCATAAACTTCTTACCTAACATCGATATCTAAGTTTTCTTGTTTACACTGTTTTATGCCTTCAAGTATGGACTCCACATAAGCCTTCTTAGTCATTCCTAGAAAGAGCACACAGGGACACATGTAAAGAGATCATCACCTCTTTCATACTTCAAACTTAGCCTCACTATATGAACAACTACTTTCACTCTATGCTGTGACAGGACATGGTCAAAGATGACCCTTAGGGGGGAAAATTTTATTTATTAAAAACTTGACCCTTAGGGGAAAATTTTATTTATTATGAACCACTCAACATGGATGCTAGGAACCAAACTCAGGTCCTCTGCAAGAGCAGCAAGTTTTCTTGACCATCGAGCCATCTCTCTAGCCCCCAAGGAGGAACATTTTCAGCACAATATTCTTGGTCTGTAGTCCTAGGGATTGAACATAGGGCCTCATATTGGGAGGCAAGGCTCTACCACTGAGCCACATCTGCCACCCTAAAAGATGTAGCCCAGGCTGGCCTTCAACTCACGATCCTCCTGCCTCTGCCTCTTCATCATATCCTACCAGCATGAGCCACCACGATCAGCCATTTGAGTAAATGGTAATTGTACTTCAATAAAATTGAAAAGACAGAATAAAAAATGAAGAAAAAAATTAACCTTAGGGAGAATACTTTATAAAAATTTTCATATATATAGGAGCAATAAAAGAAAATAGGAAAGACTGAAAGTGACAAAACAAACCCATTTGAAAATTATTCTTAGATTTAACAAGTATGAAATTATTCTCAGAAGTGTTATGAAAGTGCTCCCTCTAATACAACAAAAAAACCTTTCCAAGGGCCTGTCCTTTAAAAATGTAGGTAAAGACTGGGTAAAGGTACTTACTATACAAGCCTGACAACTTGATTTTGATCCCAGAACTATGTAAAAGTAGAAGGAGAGAACAGGTCCCACAAAGTTGTCCTCTGACCTCCACGTGTCTGCTATGCCACCTTACCCCCATAAAACAACAAATAATTATTTAATTAAAAAAATAAGTAAACAAGAGATAGGCACAGAGGTGTACACCTGTTATCCCAGCACTCAGGGGTGCTGAAGCACGAAGATCTCAAGTTTTAGGTTAGTCTGGGCTATATGAGCCCTGTTTCAAAAATCAAAAGGAAAGGGCTGGGGGCTGGAAAGCTGGCTCAGAAGTTAAGAGCACTGGTTGCTCTTGGAGAGGACTGGGGTTTGGTTCCTAGCACCCACTTGGTAGTTAACCATCTGCAACTCCAGTTCCAGGGGATCTGACACCCTCTACTTACCTCCGTGGGCATTGCATGATGCAGGTGTATTTACATACATGCAGGCAAAACACTCATACATATAAAATAAATAAATAAAAATAAAAAGATTTTTCTTCCTTAGCAGGATATTTTTTTCTAATGATCCAGGAAAAAACCCCGAGTTCCTTCCCCTACAATACTGCTTAGGATGTTTCTCACCTAGGGCATCAGAGATGTTATTTCAAATTTGAGTGCTCAAGCTTTCCTCTTCCCAAAAGCTCTGCAGGAGCACTCTCCAGAACAGCCTACTCTAAAACTACCTTTGACTGATTATAAAAGGCTTATTTTTTTTTAATTGAAAGCTTTTAGTAAAACAGAACATTATAAAGAATAAAAAACAGCTGGGTTGAGGCTAGCCTGGTCTACACAGTGAGTTCTAGGCCAGCCAAGGTTACAGGGAGACCCTGTCTCAGAAAACAAAAATAAACAACAAATAAAAAACAATAACCTACAATCCCACCATCCAAATAACTATGACTTACTTTCTATAGATATACATATGCAGATTTAAAGATGAAATACTACCAGGTATATCTGTTCAGTAATTTAACACTGCATTGAATAATTCCATGTGTCATGAAACTGTCTCTGCAAATATATTGTTTAATTTTAAAAACATTTATTTATTTGTGGGAGTGTACATGCATGAACATGTAGGTGCCACAGTACACATGTGGAGGTCAAAGGACAATTTAAGGAGTCAGTTCTCTCCTTTCACCATGCAAGTCCCAAGGATGGAACTCAGGTTGTTGTCAGCCTTGGAGGCAGATGCCTTTACTTGCTGACCTATCTTACTAGTCCTGCAAATACTTTCAATGGTTGCCTGATATTCTACTAGTCTTTGACCTACTGTTGCAAACTCAGGTTTCAGCTTATGACTCTCCATCTGAAGAGCAGACCAGTTCTATTGTAATTGACAAGACTTTGGGGGTGGGCTCCTTTCCTTTCACTACTTAAACAGCATAACTTTGTAGGAGACCAAGATAGCATGTTTTAGGGCTAGATGGACCTGAAACTTTTAAGATCAGTCCATAGTCTCTGCTGAAGGGAAAGGGGCTGAATACAGTGTCTTAGGACTCTGTCATGTGGAACACTGCATGACTAGCAGGTGGAAATTGGCCAGGTTAAAAGTTCATAGTGCCCTTTGTTCTGAGAAAAAACATCTTGACTTCCTTGTTCTAGGAAGAGAGAAACCACCTAACAAATAACTCCTGGTATATGCAATTAAAGTTAAGACATCTTGGTTAACAGCCCCCATCTCACTCCCTTGTCCTGAACAATAACCTTCAGCCCACACTAGTAAAAGATTACATGAGCACCTTCTGTTTTTTTGTTTGGTTAAACTTTACATGCACCCTGGATCCTGCACACTGGACCCCTTTTTGTATATAAGCTTGTTGGGAGAATAAACAATTTGCTGGAGAGACACAAATCCCAGAGTCTGACTTTATGCCACCAATATCACCTCTGGGAGCGAGGCCCTCACAAGGCAGGACCCCCACATAACTTGAAACTGATTCTATCATTTAAAACTGTGAGGAAGGAAACTCCTTTTCCCGTTTCAAGGTTTACTTTAATAATTTCAAGTTTTTATTCCTTACTATACTACACATATCATGGTACAAAATGACCTAAGTCTTTTCAGGTCAAGAGGGAGTCAATGATATTATGTAACATCTCCTGATTTAAACAAACAAACAAACAAACAAAAACAAACAAAAACAAAACCCCCAGATCCTGGCTATGTTGCCCAGGCTGGCATTGAACTCACTATGTAGCTCAGTGTAGCCTCAAACTCACTATCCTCTGGTGTGTACCACTATGTCCTGCCTGAAACTGCTCTTGAGGAAGATCCTAGGACAGTCCTACACAACATACCCAACTCATCTCTGTCCCCAAAGGGTCCATCATAGTTTGCACCAGTCCCCGAGGAGTGACTGAATAACTGGCACTTCAGTGACATTCTACATCCCCTTAGTGACATCATCTCATGAGTGCAGGAGTAAGAACAGCTTTTGCGTGAGACAATGCAACTATGAAGTATCCTTAACATCTTTGCATGTACATGTTCATATGTCAGTGTGGAGGCCAGAGGACAATCCTGGTATTGTTTCTCAGGTGCCATCCATCTTGTTTTTTTGAGACAGACTCTCTCACTGGCCTGCAGCTTCCCTGATCATCAAGCCCCAGGGATTTGACTGTATCCACCTCCAAAGTGTTGAGGTTGCAAACACATCCCTCTGTACCCCGCTTTTTACTTAGGTTCTGGTGATCAAACTCAGATCCTCATGCTTGAAAAGTAAGTACTTTACTGACTGAGCTATCCCCCTAGATGCCAGTGTTCTTTTCTTGAAGGAAAAAAAAAAAAAACCCTAAACAAGGAAGATTGAGGCCCTGGATTTGAAACCAGCACCACCACCAAAAAAAAAAAAGTCCTTATGAACATCATTATAAGAATTTTTGTTGAGTGAAGGAGGCAAACATGACCGTCTGTGAATGACCAAAGCACATAGGAAGACAAATAGTACATTCACTGAGAAGTAATTAATTCTACCAGTAGAATTTTCTCCTCTGGGTGTGCTCCTCAGTTCCAGATACTTGACACCATCCTCTGCAAATTCTTTAATGACATCTTTTGTGACCTGATAATAAAGGCAATGTACTAATTTATTACATCTGATTTGCAAAAAGTGGAAAAAGCCTCCATACAGTACAGACCATCTGCTTTGTTCACCCCTCATGGAGAGCATGACAGGCACCAACATTTCAAATAGTTCCCATCTTCCCATCTCCTCTCCTCCCACATTAGAACCAAGTTGCTTATTAGCCACACCTTGTTTTCATTTCCCTTTTTCAAAAGATTATTTTTACTTGTGTGTGTGAGAGAGTGTATGCCATGTGTGTGCAGATGCCCAAGGAGACTAGAAGAAGGTATTAAATTCCCTGGAGCTGTAGTTACAGCTGGTGAGTCACCCAATGTGGGTGCTAGGAACCAAACTTGGGTCCTCTGGAAAAGTAGCAAGTGTTCTTAACCACTGAGCCTCTCTCTATTCCTCAAATTAATTAATAATCAAGAGACAGGGTTATCAGGTAGCCTAGGCTGGCCTTGAAATCACTATGTAGGAGAAAATGATTCCTAATTCTCGGTCCTCTGCCTGTCTAGTGCTGGGTGTGTGTTACCAGGCCTGGCTTTCTTTCCCTCTTTTTTTTTTTTTTTGGTCTTTTTGAGACAGGGTCTCCCTGTAGCCCCAGCTGTCCTGGAACTCACTATGTAGACCAGGCTGGCCTTGAACTCACAGAGATTCTCCTGCCTCTGCCTCCCAAGTACTGGGATTAATGGTATGCACCACCACGCCCGACTCTTTCCCTCTTTTTAATTATTTCTCTACTTCCTACTGTTCATAATCGCTTACTGATAAAATAGAGAAATGAGTCAAAGTCGGAGCCATCTAATGTTTGTACAGTGCTAGGAAATGAAATGTACATATAAAAGTAAATAAAATTATTGGTCATACAATGATCAGGCATAACCAGTATAGTATTTAAGGTCATAGTTTAAGGTTCTTATTCAAGTTATTTAGGAATAAGTTGTAATATTTTTCATTTTTATTACTTTTATTTTATGTGTATGTGTGTATTGCCTGCATGTAGGTAAGGGCACCCGTGTTGCACAGTGCCCTCAGAGGACAGAAGAGACTGTTGGATCCTCTGGAACTGGAGTTAGGGACAGTTGTTAGCTGCCATGTGGATGTTGGGATTCGAACCTGGGTATTCTGCAAGAACAACCAGTGTGGGGTTTTTTTTGTTTTGTTTTTAATTTTTAAAAATTTTTTATTTTATGTGTATGAGTGTACTGCCTGCAGGTATGTGAGTTCACCTTGTTGTGCAATGCTGTGGAGGTCAGAAGAGGGCTTCAGATTCCTCTGGAAATGGAGTTAAGGACAGTTTGTAGCCACCATGTGGGTGCTGGGAATCAAACCCGTGTCCTCTGCAAGAGCAGTCAATGCTCTTAACCACTGAGCCGTCTCTCTAGCCTCACAACTAGTATTCTTAACCACTGAGCCATCTCTCTACCCCATGAGTTGTATTTTTCAATAAATTCTGGCAGGGTTAGCTTTCTCTTGAGGTACTTCGGAAAATTCCCCTTAGGCAAATAAAGTGTTTGATGGTTTGGCAAGGATGGCTCTGTGGGTAAGGGCACTTGCTGCCAAGACTGACAACTTGAGTTTGACCCCCAGGACCCACAAGGTGGAGAGAGAGACCTGATGGTCACAAGCTGTCCTCTGACCTCCACATGTGTTGTGTCATGTGTGCACACTCTGAGTACACACACACACATACACACACACACACACGAATGTAATAAAAAAATTAAAAAAGGAAGCGTGATAAGTAAAACTCTATCTAATATAGTACAAATCTCAACAATCCAAAATTACTAAAGACATGTTTTCCTTTCTTGCCATAAATGCTAAAAAGTATCAATTTAGATGGGGAAAAAAGTTGAGCCTGAGGATCCTGTGAAGTCTGCCCTAGTTAGCCCTTCAGTTGGTGTACTAATCTTAATCTGCTTCAACCATGTGCATGTAAGCACAGTGTCCTGACTAAGGAACAAGTATTGGTTGGTTGTGCAGACAGGACCTAACAGGATAGCACTTTCTTAGTGAATTCATAGAAATATAATGTCTGGGCCTATTTTTTTCCCTTGAAACCCAAAATAATTTTTTGGGGGGTGGGGGTGTCTCCTGTAGCCCTAGCTGGGTTGGAACTCGCTATGTAGACCAGGCTGGCCTCAGTCTCATGGAGATCCACCTGCCTCTGCCTCCCAAGTGCTGGGATTAAATGTGTGCACTATCACACCTGGCCTTCCAAAAGTCATTTTTAATAACAGAATGGGTGGCCAGATTTACCAGGTGGGCTGGGAAATCAGACTTAAGATACTACCCTGCTCAAGGCAGCATTCAAAATCATGTCACTCCTAGGCAATGCAAGAAGCTGCTGTCAGCACTGAGAATGCACGTGCACTTCCCATGCCATTGTTGCTAGCACTGGACCCTCTGGCTAAGCTCCCATAAACTCCATCTTCTTGTCCCTGCCATAACAAAGTCTCATCCTTTGGAGGCCAAGAAACCTGAATATCGTCACTGTCCAGAACTACATAGACCTACAGAGACCAGCTCACCCTATTCCAGCTCACTGAAACTAACAATGAGAAGAGCTGTGTTCCAAAGCTTTACTCTGATCTATTCTAATTTCTACTTCAGATAGTGCATGGAATCAAATCCAGGGCCTCTTTCAAACCAGGAAAGTTCTCCACAACTTTCAAACTAGGAAAGTTCTCTACAACTGAACTATCCATCCACAACTGAATTATCCACCCAATCCCATTTTCCTCTCTCCTCTCTCTCTCTCTCTCTCTCTCTCTCTCTCTCGCCTTCTCACCTGCATTTGGGGATATATACCTATAATCCCAGCACTTAGAAAAAGTGAAGGCAGGAAGATTAGGAGTTTAAGGTCAACCTTGGCTACAGAGCAGGTATGAGGCCAACCTGAGCTACAAAGTTGCAAAAAAATTTTAAATAGAGGAAAAAAATTACATGTTTTTCATTTCTTCACTTAAAGTCTGTGAATTTAAATCATCTTGGTTAGATCAGTAATAAACAGCTAGTCCACGTCACACCCTAGAATCATGGAGTTTCAGATAAAAGAACATTGTATGTTCTCTAAATCTTGATTCCCCAGAGGAAAGGCATAATTTCCTCAGGGAATAATCACTCAATCTGTAAGTTGTTCATGAGTTTCACTTTCTAAAATGTCTTCCCAGCCAGTTAAGTTCCTATGTAATACAGACAAAGCCTCATCAAGAGCATTCCCATCTAAGGTCAAATATTTCTTATGACATGCTCTAAATGGAAAACAGGGTCAGGTTTTCTTTTCTATATTGTTCCCTACTATACAAGGTATTGGTCTTCTTTCCTCATTCCTTCTTTTTTCCCTATTCCCATCCTCATTTCTTTAATTGAACAGTCTTTATATTAGCTCTAAGGCATGTCTTACATCAATTTTGTAAACAGCTGTTACAAAAAAAGAATATTCTGTGAGGAAAAAACAAACAAGAAAACAGACCCTTGATAAAAGCAAATGGTGATGTGTAACAGTTATTTCAAAAGTTACACCATTTGAAAAATTCTTTCATGTCTCACCATTAGAATATCCTCAGGTCTAGTAGTAAGCTGATGAATAATTTGAAACATCTGGAAACATCTACAAATGAAAGAAAAGTGTTAACATATTTTAGTCAACAAAACCTTGGGAGAAACTCCATAAATTAAATTAATAATTTTTAGGTTAATGGTAAGTATGTATTTAGACCTACACAGAACCATAGAATAGATTCTTCAAAAATACATTGATGGGGCTGGATAGCTGGCTCAGCAGTTAAGAGCACTGACTGCTCTTGCAGAGGACCCAGGTTCCATACCCAGCACCCACATGGCAGCTAACAATAATCCGTAACTCCAGTTCTAAGGGATCTGACGTCTTCTTCTGACCTCCAAGAGCACTGCATGACATAGGTGTACTTACATACATGTAGGCAATACACTCATATACATTAAAAACAAATAACTAAAAAAATACATTGATCTACAAAGACAATCAAATGGCTGAAAATAAGACTGTATTTATATTTTTTAATGGGACATAGTAATTTCCATTCTCTTTTTAAACTTTTTTTTTTGGTCTGAGACAGGGTCTCCCTGTAGCCCCAGCTGGCCTGGAACTTACTATGTAGACCAGGCTGGCCTTGAACTCACAGAGAACCACCTGCCTCTGCCTCCTAAGTGCTAGAACTAAAGGCATGCGCCATCATGCCCAGCCACTTATATTTAAGCAGATAGTTCTTTTTTGCTCATATTTGCCATTCTCTAATTTTGCCCTTACTGCTAGTAACAGAAAACAGGGAAAAATCAATACACCTATATTTTCAAATCTAAAAACCATCTCAATATAATATAATTAACAAACAATATAAATCTTTTAAAATACTTTCAACAGTCTGACATTTAGGGGAAAAAATGCTGTATATTATATTCTCCATGCCAGATGTCTACCCTAATTAAGTACTAAAATTTGATTCGTATATATTATTACAATCTCAAAATACTGACAGATAAAAAATTTCTACAACCTCCTCAAACTTACTCTTCTAAAGTTCTTTTCTTTCCCTTGTCAATCATGGTCATTTGGCCATGGACTTTAAGATCTGGCTTCTTGGCCATTAATTTCTTCATGGTGTTGGAACTAATGGATCCATTCAAGTGGGCATGGAGTTCCTGAAACAAGAGAATGCAATCAGAAAAAAGTTATCAAGTATCCACTAGATTCATAACCTCATAGCAGTTATTAGATGTTTATCATGTGTTATCAGGCAAGCTAATTAATTTAACTAAGTTTTACAAATTCTACTCATAAAATTTACTTTTGTGAAAAGAAACAATATAAAAGTAATTAAACAACTCAAGAATTCTGTAGTTAATTCTCACCACTTTGGGCAACTCCATGTAAAAGTCTGGTTTCCATGGCTGCTGTTCTGCTTCCATCACTTTAGAGGAGGAAAAGATTCTTCTTCACTCCTATTCTTGGCTTGAACAATACAACTGACTGCAGTCCAATTTCTGAGGCTTGGATTTTCTTCAGATGGCTCTACTTTCACACTGTTTTGATAAGACTGGCTATGTGTGTAGCTTTGGGATCAATGTCACCTATTTTAACAAATGTTAATGTTTTCAGATGCTAAAATAAAAACAAAGATGCTGATGCATCTTGATAAAGCACCTCCAAAGCTAATGTAAGCCTGTCTAAAGTGGAGAAAAGACTAAACAATATGAACAAGAAATAAGAAAGGAGTTCAAGCTACTTAAGAGGTGTATTAAAATCTGAAATTAGTAGCTGGGTGTGGTGGTGCATGCGTTTTAGTCCCAGCACTTGGGAGGCAGAGGCAGGTGGATCTCTGTGAGTTCAAGGCCAGCCTGGTCTACATAGAGTTCCAAGACAGCTGGGGCTACAGGGAGACCCTGTCTCAAAAAGACCAAAAAAAAAAAAAAAAAAAAAAAAAAAAAAAAAGAAAGAAAAAAAGAAATCTGAAATTAGTCAAAGACCAGGATCTCATGTCTTCTTATCTGTTTCAAGTCATTATTACATCAATAAGTTAGTGTCTCATTTTTTTGTTCCCCTTCTCTCCCCTGCTGAGTAATTTCTTTCAGGAGAACATTCACGTGTTATATGCATTTGCTCTCATCTGAAAACAAAAGAAAAAACTCTTTGTATCACACATTCTTCTTTAGCTATTCTGTCTTTGTTGAGGCTATTCAGCTTGCCTTGACTTAAGCTTTGGAGAAAGAATGCTTCCACCTTGGGAGTGGAGTTTCCCTGCTCTCTGCTTCTGTGGTCTGAGTTGACAGGCTATGCTTCCCTGATTAATTAATTGGCAGTCTTGGAAACACAACTAAAGAGTTCTGTTTCAGTTTATGGGCACAGGAGTTTCTCAGCACTGTTAGCTTGGTTTCTATATAGAAATAATGAATTATGGTAGTTGCTAAGAGTAATCACAAACAGTACACCTTATATCTAAGATATTATAAATATTATGCAGCTGAATCTTGGCTACTGTAAACGTTGGGTGAGTTTCGGTTGGTGAAGTAGAGAGTGTTGGATCCTCTGGAACTGGAGTTACAGACAGTTGTTAGCTGCCATAGGGTGCTAGGAACTGAACACGGGTCCTCTGCAAGAGCAGCCAGCTCTTAATTGCTGAGCCATCTCTCCAGCCCCATACTAGTTTTTTCTTTAGTATCCAAACCAGTTGGACTCCAAACATTTATTATTTATTATATATTTATTTATATATTTATTTTATATTCCATATGTTTTTGGCTGCATGTATGTGTACCCATACGTGCAATGCCCATAGAGGCCAGAAGAGGGCATCAGATCCATTGGAACTGGAGTTTCTGAGGGTTGTTATGTTGGTACTGGGTACCAAACCCAGGTCCTTTGCAAGAGCAGCCAGTGCTTTTAACCCAAGTCATTTCTTCAGCGCACACCAACTCACACTCTTAATCATTATGCATTACTACTTTGCATTAACCACTCTTTTTTTTATGGTATAAGTGTATTGCCTGCATGTGTGTAAGTGCATCCATGTCACGCAGTGCTCACGGAAGTCAGGAGAAGGCGTTGGATCTCCTGAAACTGGAGTTACAGTTGTTAGCCACCATGTGGGTGCTGGGAAGCGAACCTGGGTCCTCTGCAAGAGCAGCCAGTGCTCTTAAGCTTTGAGCCATCTCTCCAGCCCCTGAATTAACCATTCTTAAAGTCATCCTGATTTCCTTCCTTGAGTTCAGTAAGACAGTAAATTAATAAATGACGAATTTCTCACATATCTCTGGAAGTGGCTTCTTACCGATGGCTCCTAGGTACTTAGAAATTTTATGGTCATTTAAAGTTCCGATTTGGACTGCCTCCTTTTAAAAAAGGTTCGTAACATGTCACAGGGATTAGTCACCTCCCCTCCCCAAGCTATTCTCAGTGGAACATACTCAGCACTACTTTAGCATCACAGAATCTCGAAAAGAGGGGGGAGTGTCATTTTAAAGATGGGAGATGGTGAGTTTCACTGCAGAGCTAGCAGAGTTAGGCATACAAGAGAATCAGTAGTCGCAATTACTGTAAAAGTGTGATTTTTCACTTTCCACCTGGCCTAATTTAAGACTTAAATGTATTTTCTTTGGTAACAATGAGACCATTCAATAAACTAGGAACTATTACTTTCAGCCATGGAACAATGTTTCTAAAGCTCGGCGGTGCTGCGCCTTTTTTGCCCGTACCAAACTCCTCCTTCACCAGCAATGGAAGTCAGGTCCTCAGTACCCAGACTCACCCGCTAGACAGATTTCTCAAATCTACACATGCTCTCCCCTCAGGCGGAAACGCCTTGTAGAGAAGTGGTGACGTTAGCGGTCACCAAGGTTGGAGGCCACATTCCCGGGAAAAAGCGGCACAGAACACCAAAAGGTCATTCTCGGCAGAATTTTTTTTTTGGTCTTTTTGAGACAGAGTCTCCCTGTAGCCCCAGCTGTCCTGGAACTCACTATGTAGACCAGACTGGCCTTGAACTCAGAGATCCTCCTACCTCTGCCTCCCAAGTGCTGGGATTAAAGGCCTGTGTCACCACGACCGGCTTGTGGTAGAATTTCAAGACCAGCAACACCCTCCTGGATTCGGATTGGCCAACTGAGCCCTGCCGGAAGTGACGCACCAGCACCCGGAGGAAGCGAGGAGTCTTCCGTGTGGCGGGCCGCCGGGTGTATGCTGTGGGGCTGAGGGACTACTTCTGACCATGGGCCCGCGGAGCCGCGCGCGCCTGACTGGGGCGGTCCAGAACACTAACGACAGTAGCGCCCTCAGCAAGCGTTCGCTCGCGGCCCGCGGATATGTGCGCGACGCCTTCGCGGTGTTACTGGTGCCGGGCACAGCGCGGCGCGCGCCGCTCATCCACCGGGGCTACTACGTGCGCGCGTGCGCCGTGCGTCACTGCGTGCGCGCCTTCCTCCGACACACCGGCTTGCTACCCGAGCCCACGCGCGCCCAGATCCTGTCTCTGGGTGCCGGCTCCGACTCGCTATACTTTCGCCTGAAATCCGAAGGCCTCCTGGCCCGGGCTGCAGTCTGGGAGGTAGACTTACCCGACGTGGCCAGGCGCAAGGCAGAGAGGATCCGAGAAACCCCAGAACTGTGCGCCGTGACCGGGCCACTCCGAACCGGGGACCCCGCCTCGCCTCTGTACTTGGCGACTCCGGACTACAGCCTCTTGGGCTTGGACCTACGGCAGCTACAGCGGTTAGACAAAGCCCTGAACGCCGCGGGCCTGGACGCCACCTCTCCGACGCTGCTCCTGGCCGAGGCGGTGCTGACCTACCTGGAGCCTACCAGCGCCGCGGCCATCATCGCCTGGGCCGCTCAGCGCTTTTCCGATGCCCTCTTCGTGGTCTATGAGCAGATGAATCCGCGGGATGCCTTTGGGCAGGTCATGCTGCAGCATTTTCGGCAGCTGAACGCTCCGCTGCAAGGCCTGGACCACTTTCCCGACGTGGAGGCCCAGCGGCGGCGCTTCCTTGTAGCCGGCTGGACGGCCTGCAGCGCCATGGATCTGAATGAGTTCTATCGCCGCCTCCTCCCCTCAGACGAGCGCCGGCGGGTGGAAACTCTTGAACCCTTTGATGAGTTTGAGGAGTGGCATCTGAAGTGTGCCCACTATTTCATTCTGGCGGCATCTAGGGGAACCACTCTGTCCGAAACTCCGGTGTTTCCTCCCTCCGGGACATTTTCTCGGGTAGATCCTGCTTCTCCTTCCGGAGTTTTCTCTGCCAGAGTAATCACTTGTAGCAGCCAGTACTCAAACCTGCGGAGATACGGCCACGCCTCTGTGCTCTTGAGCCCTGGCGTTATTCTCAGTACAGGAGGATTTGGGGAACAGGAGGGGCGACACTGCCGAGTGAGCACATTTCACTTGCTTTGGAGAGCCTGTGACTCGGAATGGAAAGGCAGCCAAATAAACACTTGGGGCTTGGGAGGACAGTGGGATGGACGCCTTTATCACACCGTGTCGAGACTTTCAGATACTCGGGCTCTGGTTCTGGGAGGGAGACTCTCCCCAGTAAGTGCAGCCTCAGGGGCTCTCCAGCTTCTTTTAAATAGAAGTGAGGATAATTGCTATGAGGTCCTGAATGTGACAGTAACAAAGGTTGGCTCCGAAGAAGATTTCAAGTTGTCGTGTTGGCGGCATTCAACCACGGAAGTATACCATCAGAATCAGAGATACTTGTTTGTATATGGCGGCCGAAGTGTGGTGGAACCTGTACTAAGTGACTGCCATTTCCTACATGTCGGGACATTGGCGTGGGTCAGGATCCCAGTGGAAGGGGAGGCCCCTGAAGCTCGGCATTCCCATAGCGCCTGCAGTTGGGAAGGGGGAGCCCTGATTGCTGGAGGTCTTGGGGCTTCTGAAGAGCCACTGAGCTCTGTACTCTTTCTGAAACCAACGTTTTACGGATTCCTCTGGGAATCAGTGGATATCCAGCCTCCGATTACCCCAAGGTACTCTCACACAGCGCACGTACTTAATGGAAAGCTTTTGCTGGTTGGAGGGGTCTGGATTCATTCTTCCTCAACTCCTGGAGTGACTGTTATCAATTTGACTACAGGATTGAGCTCTGAGTATCTGATTGACACAATGTGTGTGCCGCGGCCATTCATGTTACACAACCACACCAGCATCTTCCTTCCTGAAGAGCAACAGCTCCTGCTTCTTGGAGGTGGTGGGAACTGCTTTTCTTTTGGCACTTATTTCAACCCCCACACAGTGACATTAGATTTTTCTTCCTTAAGTGCTGGGCAATAAAGACTGGACCTTTTTAAATATTTTTTTGTATTTGTATTTGTCCATGTGTTAGAAGCAGCCAGAAGAGGGAGTCAGATCTCTTGGAGCTGGAGTTATAGGTGTTTGTGAGCTGCCTGGTGAGGGTGCTGAGAACCAAACTTGTGTCCTCTGGAAGGGCAGAAAATGCTCTTAACTTCTGAACCATCCTTTTAGTCCCAAGCTAGACTCTTGATATATTCAGAACCCACTAAGGCTGAATCTGGCTGTTTGGCTAAAGATATGCCACTCCCCCTCCCTTTTCTTCCTTAGTACTATTAAATGCAGAACACTATAAAAAGGTGGTTAAAATATATTGCAACAGTGGGATGGTACAAAAATAAAACAAGACTACCCGTACAGTCCTAAGGGCCTCTGCATCATGTGTCCAGTTTATTGATCTTCCACCAATTTTCAGATCTAACCCATTTATTGAGTTACAACAACTTTTAGCCTAAGTAAAAAAATTTCCCAAACCTGGGCCTTGTGAGATGTAATTAACACGATCAAAGTTAACATCTTGAACTTTGATAGCATAGTTTCTTTTCTCTAAATTTATTAGTTTTGCATATAAATGAATATGAAAGTTAATATGAAAACCAAGCAACAAATACAAACCAAAGTGTGTGGAGATGTCAACTTTGGCACTGTTGTATAGACTTGCAGGAGAGGACAAGCTGTATTACAGACTTTCCTGACACTTTCTGGAAGAGTCTTTGGTTATGGCCAGGCCCTTTTGTGTCCATGTTTCTGCACCTTTAATCCTTCTGAGTGTTTTTATGGAGAAGGCATGGGTCAGATATACTCCAGTATCAAGGCATTTTCTTGGTGGTCTTTTTCAGACCTTGGAGTTCTGGTTTACTCTCGATGCATTTTGTGATCCCAAACCAAACCTCCAGCAACCCATGTTTACTCTCAGGCTCCTTCCACGTAGCACCTCCAAGTGTAAACAGCCACTTTCTCCCTGGGTAGGAGATAATTTTCTGTGGAGAGTTTGGTGAATATGAGAAGTGCTAGTTGATAGGGTGAGTTCCTAATCATAGGGGTGATCCAGTAAAGTCTGGTTTGACATTAAGGCTACAATAAACTTGTTGGGTATCATGGTGCACACCTGTAAGTCAAGCACTTGGGAGACAGGAGGATTGTGGGATTATGGCAAGTTTCAGGTCAGGATGTACTACACAGCAAGACCTTGTCCTAAAACAAAACCAAAACATTTTTCAAAAATTCCTTCCCTGGGAAAGATGTGAACGTCTCTCCTGTCCTAACAACAAATCAAAGTATGGTTTCCACCAGAGTTTGTCCTGGGGAACGGATCAGTTTATTGGACTCACAGAGCATGGGTGAGGGGTTACTAATAGAGGCTTGGGTGACCCCAAAGCTGCTGCACTGGAAAGTTGGCACGATGTTGACGTAAAAGAACCTCTCACCCACCTCAAAGGAGATAAGAATTTTATTCTGAAGCTAAATGTGAGTGATCATGGTCTAGGAACAAAGACTTAGGTTACCTCAAATTGCATGTTCCAATGTGGAAGCCATTTCACGAAGTTTTTATAGTAATAGAATTTTAAAAAGTCATAAACTTTTCAAATGCATAGGTGGGCTAAAGCAAAGCAGGAAAACCTGTTAAAGGCCTCAGATCCTATCTGATAGTATTCTTAGCTTTTCAGTTGGTTGGAAAATTAGTGCCAAATGATTTACCTAATGGTCACAGGATGATAGGTTGTGTACAGAGGAGGGCAATAAATAGCTATTAAGAGGGTTTTTAAAGACGGCCCAAACTAATTTGGCTCTGGACTGGGAACCTTCCAGACTCTCCACAGTCATTGAAGTTCTAATCAGTTAATCAGCCTTGCAGAAATTTCAACTGAAGGTGCGGCTTCTTTCCAGGAATTTTTATTTATACGAGCATGGATAATGTCTTCATAGCTGAATAGATGGAGCCCCTTCCTTTAGTTTTCCCCAGCCTATATACTTTAGTCTCTCCCCAAGGCCAGAGGCCACAGATAATTAGGGCACTTGCATCTACATGACTGGGAGGAGTGACTGGAATACTCACCGTGAGGGTCCGAGACTCCCATCAGCTTCTAGGAGGAAATGCCAACAGTCAACAGGCCTAATCGTGATGGACTCTCAAGTAGGTAGAGCTGATCTCATGACGCTGGAGGCAGTTTGACTTGGAGGATAGCACCTGACAACACCTACACTAAGCCCTTTGACTGTAGCAATAAAGAGGTGAACCTAAAGTAGCATGAAGCTAACAAGTTAGGTCATGAATCCTGGCTAATGATATTTGAATTTGGTGTTTAAGAAGAGAAAGGAAAATATGTATAGAAAAGTTTGTAAAGCTTTAGAGGAGGCTTAGATTTCCTAGGATGTCAATAATTAAGTAGTGAGAGTTGTCATTCCACAGCTTAGTTGCAAGTACTCAATTTTCTGTCTTAACATTAATGTAAAGCACTTTGATGGGGAAGAGACTGTGAAGGAAGGAACTGTGTGTCTGTCCAGTTCACTTCTCTACCACCAGGAGAACAGATGCTGTTTTTTAAAAATCAACTTGTATGGAAATTCATTTTGGCACTTAAGAAAATTATGTCTGAGTATTGGTATAGTGGCTACCATCCCCAAAAGACATCAGATATCCTGTTATTTATTTTTGTGTGTGTGTGGGGGGGTAAGCATTAAAGGTTTGAAGACCCTCTGTTTCAATATTGTTTTATTTCTTTATTTTTACTTTTTGTTGGTGTGTGATATGTGTATGTGTATGCCTGTTGTTGTGTGCCTTCTTGTGTGTGTGCATGCATATGCTGTGGCTCATGTGGAGGTGAAAGGACAAACTGATGGCAGTCCTAGCTTGAGATAAGGTCTCTTTGTTGTTTGCTGCTGGGCATGTTAGGCTAGCTGGCTCATGAGCTTTCTGGGATTCTCCTGTCTTCACCTCCCATCTCACCATAAGAGCACTGAGATTACAGATGTGCACTATGAGACCAGGCTTTACATGGGTTTTGCAAGTGCTTGACCTATTGAGCCATCTCCCTAGACTTACCACCAGTTCTTTTAAATTCAACTGCATTGGCCTGGATAAAGGTATTAAGACTTCTGGTGTCACTCCTAGATTTAATTTTTTAGTTGTGTGTGTGAGAGTGTGTGTGTGTATGTGTGTGTGTGTATGTGTGTGTGTATTTGTGTTCTTGCACATGTGCAGGTGACAAGATGCACATGCTGAAGTCAGAAGACAACTTGCAGGTATCAGTTCTCTTCCATTATGTGGGTTCCGAGGACTGAACTCAGGTCATCAGGTTTGGCAATAAGTGCTCTCTGAGACATCTCACTAGCCCAATCCTAACTTTATGGACTAGACCCCAACCTTTTAGATCATAATTTTCAGCTGATCCTCAGCCTCCTTTGCTCAACAGTGTTCTGTGGTTACCTTGTATACTTTGCAGCTGAAATGAGTTAACTTGGCAAAACAGCTAATCCGAAAGACCAGGAACATGCAATTAAATATACTTGCGAGTGCAAGGATCTTACCAGGATGCTGTGATGCTTCACTGGGCATGACCTGGTATGTAACTCTCTAAGTTTAATAGAGGAAGAGGAAAGACCTTGCCCTCATTTTTATGTGCAAAGTTATTTGCTACCTACTTGGTGGATTAAGACTACTAAATAAACTATAATGACAATGAGTTTAAGATATTGCACAACATTCTGTCTCTCATCTCTTAGCTTTTATTCACATTTTTAGACCCTCCATCAGAGCTCCAACATCAGACTCATATTTACTACTTTAGAGGAAGCTCTTCAAGTTGATCTTTCTTGTTTATGGACGCACCAGCCATTTAGCCCATATTTAAGAAAAAACTTTGCCAACTCATTTCCTTCCCAAAAATACTCAGTCAAAAGTAGAATCCAAGCCAGGTGTGGTGGCACACACCTTTAATCCCAGCACTTGGGAGGCAGAGGCAGGCGGATCTCTGTGAGGTCAAGGCCAGCCTGGTCTACATAGTTCCAGGACAGCTGGGGCTACAGGGAGACCCTGTCTCAAAAAGACCCCCCCCAAAAAAAGTAGAATCCATACCCCAATTTTCAATACATTTACCTGTAATCCCAGCCATCTAGGAAAGGGGAAGGGGAGGAAGAGGTGGAAGTGGAGGTGAGGTAGGAAGATCAGAAGTTCAAAGTCATCTTCTGCTGCATAGTGAGTTTGAGACCAGCTTGGGACACACACACACACACACACAGAAACCCTGTCTTAAAATGAAAAATTGAAAAAACCACCCAGAGATTACTACCTGAAAATGAAACTAAAGTGTCAAGTCATAGAAATTAGTTATTATTCTTTGGTATTAGTGACAAAACCCACAAATGCTTTGAAAGAACAAAGAATTCAAGTTAGACCATGTGAGGAGATGGCATTACAAATGAATGAGGCAAGGCTGGAATATTTAATATTTTGTTGGGATCACTGCATTTATGAAAATAATATTAGCTCCCTATTTCTCACACACAAAAAAGCACAGGGACAAAATCTGAGTGGATTAAAGACTTGACTCAAATTAGAAAAACAAAACAACCACAGCCTAAATTATATGAGCATTAGAACAAGTATAAAAATATATTTTAAATCTGGTGATAGGAAAGATCTTAAAGAACTTACAACACAAAATCTACAGAGGAAAAAAAACCCTATAGTTTTAGAATGTCTTTTTTTTTTGGTCTCTTTGAGACAGGGTCTCACTGTAGCCCCAGCTGGCTAGAATGTCTTTTTAATAAACCCATTTAGTGGGGCTGGAGAGATGGCTCAGCAGTTAAGAATACTGGTTGTTCTTGCAGAAGACCTGGATTTGAATCCCAGCACCCACATGGCAGCTAACTACTGTCCATAACTCCAGTTCCAGGGGATCCGACAGCCTCTTCTGTTCTCTACAGGCATTGCATGACACTGGTGCACTTACCTACACGCAGGCAATACATACATACACATAAAATGAAAATAAAATATGAA